GGTAAAGGAAAATTAAAGGTAAAGGAAAATTGTTGGGTACATGGCACCTGATTTGATATAAAATTTACAAAAAAATTAACTGGAACCTTCGAAATGTTTGCATTGATTTGACACCAAGGTAGCAAAGCCTGTTCACAGCCATTATTGTTAGAGCGTTTTGAGTTCGCGCTAGTTCAACTCCCGATCGTTCAAAGCTCGCTTTTACTTTATTCGCGCTCTCGACAATATTGGATGAAATGAGTCTGTGAACAAACTATTAAGTTATCATGGTAATTCTACTTTGCCTTTTTGCCCTCTCCATTGTCCCACTCGGAGCAGATGGCAAAGATTACTGCCTTGCATTTGAGATTTCCCGGTTGATTGTTTACAACAATGTCGCCGACAGCCACATGCCCTATATTGGTACATTCCTGCTGTAAGCTTGGTCCAGCAGCTTGGCTTAGGGCCCTTGCACAAGGGGTCTGCGTCAAGTTAAGATTCGATGTCGCTGTACCAACTAAAATGTCCGCCTGGAAGAGAAAACAGAAGTGACAGTTGGCTAGAGGACCAAAACTAAAAGCGAAGTCCATTCTTAGTCACGGCATCAAATGTTAGTTAATGATACCATCGAGTTATGGAAAACGATCGAGAAATGCTGAGGGGACAGAAACCGTATACTGACATGAAAGTATTGAACAAAAGCCTTCTGAGAGGACATGTGGTTACTGGATAGTGAATAACCACAATGGTACAAAAACAAAGAGTTGTGGAGTTTTATTAGTTTTATTTCTAATATTTGTTTTGAAATTTAAATGCTTGACACATATGTTCTCTGCATCTTTGTACACAGCATTAGGTAGCTGTTTACGATGCGAGGATGGGAAGGCCCGGACGGAAACGTCAGTGGACGCGGGAAACTCTCGCTAGTCCCGTCGTGTCGTCAAAGACAAAATGCTTTTTTCGTATAAACGGCGACGTCAATTACTCGAGCGACACATAAAACCTTTGGAACATGTGTACTAACGGCATCCGCGATCGACTGTTGATCGATACCCTCGATCGATACCCTCGATCGATACCCTCGATCGACATCTTGATCGGCAGGTGATCGACATCCCGATCGATATTCGGTCGACACTTGATCGACACTTAATCAACAGTCGGTCGATAGTCGGCCGAGTGTCTACCGACTCATATGCATGGATCAAAAACTAGTCGACTGTCGATTGACTGTCGCTGAAGATGTCGATCGAGTGTCGACCGGGGTGTAGATGGAGTGTCTCTTGACCGCGGATGCCTTTAGTACACATGATCCAAGCTTTTTGCAGAACCATTGACATCCTTAGAGATGGTACCCTGCGAGCAGTTGTTTTCTCCTACGCCGAACGAGAGAGAAACTACTGGGAGCAACTGTCTACTTTTCCATCGAGCCTACGCGAGTTCGTCTCGCCCCACGTGATGCATTTGTCGAGGGTCCACAATAGGGTTCTCAGATCCCGCTTTCCCGCCCATTTTTTCCTGTTAATCACGCTATCCCGCCCTTTTTTGCCTGGAAATCCCGATCCCGCCCACTTTTCAAAGACGTTTCTGCGTTAATTGTTGATTTGTTAAATTAATAATTAATTTAATTATTAACACAGAAACTTTTTAAAAATAGATATCATATAAAAGATCACAAAAGAATTCAATGGGTAGCAGATAATTCAGCACAAATGATTATAACGTTTCTTTCCATAAACGGTTTACTGTTTTGTTTTCTTTTGTCCACGTATCAGTGAAAGAAAAAGATTGTTCATTCCTATATTTAAGAGATGGCCCGTAAATACACTTGACAGTTGCTTTCAAAGCTTTCAGCGTTTTCACTTTCCTTGAAATCTGGGCTCAGAACTTTTCTTTCCGAATGAAGGAATTCTTGCTCGCGCATCACTTTCGTAATATATGGTGCATCGTACGGTAAATCAATATCACCGCCATCCGGTGTGGCCATCCTGGCCAAAACAAGACAAGCGCTCTGGAAAAGGTCGAAAGACAAGAAAAACTAGAAAGGATCGGGGGCCAAGATTACAGACGCAAGTGTCGAAAATGTCGGAAATGGAGAGGTGTTGGTTTAATTCGACCGTTGCGAAAATTTGGAACTTGCTAAATTTTTGTCAATTTTTTTCCTCGCCAAAAACTGGAAATATTTGAATTCGCTCTAGTACGACCCGGCCAGTCTCATGATGCTAACGTAGTCCAGCGATAATGGATACGTTTGACAGAACCTGACAGGGTACAGAGCCGTTGCTATTCATTACTTGAAACCTGACACAGCTATATGCACAAAAGGTTCGTTTCTGCCAGCTTGTGGTTTTTGCGCTGATCAGATAACAATTTATGAGATCATGTAAGAATTGAAATCCCGTATCCCGCTCTGTTCCCCTCACGAATCCCGCATTCCAACCCTATGAAAACACGAAATACTGCTTCCGCTCGTAATCGTAACTCCCGCTTCCCGCCCCTGTTTTCAGCTCAAATCCCAAATATCACGGCGAAAAAAAGCAAAATCCCGCATCCTGCCAAACCTATTGGGGACCCTCTTTGCCGTCAGTTCCATTTGTTCGCTACAGGTGTTTGTACGACGGCGAAGTATTATCTTGTTTGTGGTCTAAATCTAAAGCCTAAATTTTAGGTTTTCTTGCCTTTTCGCGTACGGGATTGCTGAGCTCGTTGAACACAATACTCCAAACATCAATCCGAGTCTAACAGAGAGAATACGATCGAAGGCGGGTTTATAAAAGCTGTTTCAAGCGACTATACGTCATCAAAAGTAACCACAGAAGCGCCCTCAAAGCACTAGAGGAGGAACTTCCAGCGATGTAGAGCACAGTCTCGAATGAACGTCTTTCAACATCATAACCCAGATCATAACCTTTCGCAGTGGAGTTGGACTTTGATCGCTTCACGGTGGATTCGGTAAAACGCAGCAGTTATGTTGGTGAGCACATCGAGACTAAACCAGCTTTTAAAACTCGTTTTACCAGTTCAAAGTTGATTTATTCGTTCATGGCGCAGGACGGCGGTTAACGCAAAGGAACGATCGGTTGCTCGCAGTGGTTTCTCTCTCGTTCGGCGAAGGAGAAACAAACTGCTCGCAGGGTATAGAGATGGTAGAGATCGAATCCTATTAAGCTTAAACGATGGTGAACAGACGCTGAAATTATCTTTAAATACATTTGTATGAAGCAAACGTTACTAATCTGTCAGTATTTTAAAATAAAGAATCCAGAATTTCCGTATGAAGAGATCTTATCGACTTGGTTAAGAAGGCTTTTTGCCAGCAGAGCGTTTTTTAATGCTGCCGAGGTTCCTGACTTAAGGTGAATATTTCAATTTCCACCTGTAATTGAAACAAGTATTTCTAATGAAACAAACATTAATATAATTCCGGGTAGTATGAGAAAATGAAACATCAATTTGAGAATATGCATTTATTTGCTCGATGGATGCTCTAAAGGCACGTAACAATCGTATTTCAATCAAAACCTTTCGGAAACCGCTCAAAATCCTGCAGGATTCTTCAAGAAAAATACTTTGGCACTTTGGCATACTTCGGTGAAAGCTGTGCCTGGTTATATGAGAAAAAAATATAGAAAACTGAGGAAATATTGTGGCTACTCACCAACATAGTTCTGGGCTTATATAACTTCATAAGGGGTTTTGGGTGGGCTTATAAACGGGGAGCCTTATATCCGGGGCGAGGGGGTAGTGGGGAGGCATATAAGCGGAGTAAAAAATAACATTTCGGAACGACGAGATAAAACGTATGCGAGAAACGAATTAACGCTAAAATACTATTGCATTTAGAGCTATTACCCTACATGTATTGCCCTATCCATTAGCCTATAACTTTCGATTAAAAATTTAATGTTTGTACTGAGAAACGCGAAAGGAACACACTTATACAATAGATGGGCTTACNGGAGGGCCTATATCCGGAATACTATCTTTGTTAGCAAATAGAAGGGATTATATCCGGGGAGGTCTTATAAATAACCTGGGGGGCTTTGACGCGGGATTTTACGGTATGTGATTATCCAAGCGATGTCACGTCCTGTCGAAGAACGTGGGAAACGAATCTGCAATGTCCTACATTTTGACTTCGCAGCGGTCAGCGGTAAGAGATCGTAGAGGTTCGTAGCGCCATGTAAGAGATTGGGGAGGTTCGTAGCGCCATGTTTCCGCTAAACTCGAAATTGTTTTACTCGAAATCTGATATTTAATGAAAGGGTAATAATGTTAAGCTGTAAAAGCAGTTATTTTCATTTAAACTCGCGTTTAAAAGGCATAATCAATTATTAAATCACGAAATGTTTTCTGTCTCACGTCGTGAGATTCATTGTTCCGAAAGCTTTCGAAAAGTCACGGACTATCTTTCTTTCTTACTGAATGACTGACTTACTCATTTACTCCCGGGCCTGATGACCTATTGGTGACTGTCTAAGGCAGTAACCACAAAAATAACTCAATTGCCGGAATTGTCAAAATGTACTGAATTCTCTTTACTACCCCAATATATTCATCGATAGTCTTTTGAAATTTATGCCCAATTTCGGCGAATTAAATCAAAATTTTGTCCCGAAAAGTTCCGTTTTACAAATTTTATTTGCATCACTTTTGCACTGCACCTTAGTTCTTGCATTGAACAGAACTACGATTGCAACGCTTTGTCAATCCCCGGCCTTACGAGCGCATTATTTAAACGCAACATGTCGAAACGTTGTTGGGCGTAACATGTTGCGAGCGTATGGCCACCCTGTTGCGACGTGTTGCGACATGTTGGGTGTTGTTGGCTCAAGTTTGAAAATGATCAAATTTGGGCCAACACACCCAACTTGTCGTAGCAGGGTGGCCAAACGCGTGCAACATGTTGCACCCAACAGTGTTACGATATGTTGCATTCACATGTTGCGATCGTTGGACCGGGGCTTCACGGTGTTTCGTAAATTGTCATAATATTATAAAAACATTTTAGCCATGAATACCTGTTCTTTGGCCAGGTCGCTGCTTTTCACTGTGATACGAATTCCTTGAGTTATCAAGGATCTCGGAGGCCCCATCATTGCCATTCCCTTTGCTCTACTAACAATTCCAGCCACAGAGGTTGCAGGTTTGCTACTCTTCAGATCGGTAAAATTCCTCTCTGTTCTAAATCTCCTTCTCAATTCATCCGCGAACACCTTCACTGTTGCGTCATCGTTGTTGATGAGGTGGATCTCTGATAGCTTGCAATGTGGGTCTTCTTTGCAGAATTCG